TCTGAAGAAATCGATCGTTGCATGTTGATGTGCCGGCATAGTCGTTGAACAGGGCATCAAATCGCAAACAAGGTTGATTCCAAGCGCCTGGATATCGATCATCCCAGGCTGCAAATAAGGCGTTGCCTGTTTGAATGCGATCCATTCTTTGCATTGCTTGATTGACTGCTTCATCGCAGTACAATTTCTTTGACCACCACTCAGATAATTTAGGAACCAGTTTATTGTAGTCCTCTCTACGCCGCGACTCTCGCTCGGCGATTCGTTGTGCCTCGAATTTGTCGGCCGTTCGTAGAGCGTCGTGACCATTGGCGATTTGCTTGATGTCAACATCATTGGAATTGACAGGATCTCTGTCTTTGGGCTGTTCCAAGTCAATTTCCAGTCGTTTTTTCATCGCTTTTTTTCCTACAAAGGAAGCCTTGGACTTAGCCACGCCCAGCTTTTTTGTATTAGCCGAGGCAGCCTTCGAAGCTGGAGATTTGCCCATGTTTTGCCAGTGTTTTGCCGTTTGTTTGTTGATAAATTCAAAGTTTTCTACGTATAATCAGTACTAGCGCTACGCGGAGCAGATTGGCTGGTTCTGCGTGTTTGCGTGTTGTTTCGTTTCTGATTTTCTTTTTTCTATGATAGAGCACAAGTGGTGATAGATCTTGTTTGATTGTATTGCGCTGGATGTTCCTACTGTGCCTTCGGAGAGTTGATGGTGATGGCAATGACAATGTTGTTTCCGTTGTGGCAGAGGAGGAAAGCTTGAACAGTTGCAGGGAATGAAAGGCACTGGTGCAGCAGTCGATCAGAGGCGCTGTGAGGCTTTGCACAGTATGGGTGGGGCGTGTTGTTCAGAGGCACTGTGAGGCTTAGCACTTGGCACAGTAGTGAGGGTGAAAGGCCACTGGGTTCCGTCATAACTTGTGATGTCATCGCGGTAAAACCTCCTCTGTTTTCACCCTTGGAAGGTGATAAGCACCCTTGGACGTTAAGGGATATGAAGGTTGATGGTAACGTTCCAACCCTCAAGAACGGATAAATCTTCCCTACAGTATATTGATCATATACTAGTGCCTAGAGACAAGAGATGTCTTAATCGGTACTTTAGGAAGATTATGAGATATCTATCGTTGATGTGAATGCTGAGTTTGAATCTAAGAGGTGAGGCACGCGTGCGTGGTAGGCGTGCTTGCTCCGATCAATAAGCAGAAGCAGTACGGAAGCGGAGCTGATTGCTGTTGACGATGTTGTCACGATGATACTATGGACAAAGCTGTTCATGGAGTGGCAAGGGTATCCAATTGAGAAGAATATCTTGTATCAGGATAACAAAAGCGCGATTCATTCTACTGGAAGAGGATGGTTGCAAGAGCGCGGGTAAAAGAAGCTGAGCCATCAATATTTGTTATTTCTTTATCACAGATCAAGTTGAGAAAGGAAATGTTAAGATTGAATACTGTCCAACTGACAATATGATTGCGGATATCATGACTAAGCCACTGCAAGGTGAGAAATTTTGCAAGTTCAGGGATCTGATTCTTGGTCCACAGGACTAGGTCAGACAAGTATGTTCAAAATACAAAACAAAACAAAATAAACAGTGAAAGAGAGCATGTCCTATTGCTGCCAATGGTGATTGTCACAATGGCAGGAGTGTGTTGGGATATGACAAAATATGAGTTTTTACGTTCCAAAAGAAACTATTCAAGTACAAAGTTTTGACACGTACGATCGTGATATCGGGATTCGATGCAAGTCTGCCAAACAATCTATATCCACACGAAAAGGGAAAGACCCAATACAAGTGGAATATCGATGTTGTGTACAATACAGTAGGGAATAATACAAGATGTCCCAAAGTACTGTATCCAACACAAAATCCTCGTAGAAGTCGAATCGAGTTCTGTAAACAAGGGATTTTCCAAGGGAAAATCGTTGAACTCACTTTTGTGATTGAATCATCAATTCAAGCCAAACATGAATCAAGTAGGAACAATTTCACTCAAAGTGTACCTAACACAGGAGAACTATTGTTGTGAAAGTGTTGTACAATCGATTACGAGTTTAGATTGCAGAGAGTTTGTTCTGAGCGCTAAAGGCACTCACGATAGAGCACATTTTGCTTTATTCTAACAGAATCGGTCTCTGAGGAATTTGGAGCTTTCAGTACTGGCTAGTGGTGGCGGTAGGAGAAGCAACTGAGTTGCACAACAGCTTCACATTTGCGGTAGAAGGTACTGCAACGTTTGATGCTGGAGTTTGTGTATTGTTGGTACCCTTCCTCGCCAGAAGCTTTGCGGAGGAACAGGTACCAATACTTTGAGTCACTGCTACATGCTGGTCTGGCACGTTATGTATGACTCAGCATTTTGAAAGTCTTCAGCTGGCCACAATAAGAAAATGAAAAGCCAATCAAAATGGATCATGGCTATTTCGCCTGATTCTTTTCTGGTAGGACAAATTGCGCTGTCTATTCGAGGAGGCTTCCTACCAAAACACGTTGAAAAGGACGAAGGAGTGTGCTACGAGATTTGTACATTAAAAACTGTAATTTTGGCAAAATCCTTGTCCATTTATGGCAAAATAATAGCTTTTTTTCGTTAAATTGAGTAGCGAGGTACGAGAGATTTGGGACGAAAACGAGTACGATGACAAACATGGGGATTTTACAAGATGTGTGCGAATCTCTAGGTTAAGCTATCTAACGTACGAATGACGGACACTCTCTGGTCCAATTAACGGTCCCCTCAAGGTGATAGTGATGTATCAGAGAACCTTGTACTCCGAATTGGGCTAATATCAACCGTACCCCCTCTTGGGAGGACGTATCATCCAATACTGTCCAAGACTGACAATATCCGGCGACGGATGAAGACGTTTCCAAAA